GTATCAGAGCTCAGACATTTCTCCAGATAATAAATCATCTTTATACCACTTACTGGATGAATATTTAAGGTTTAAGGGGATTGGATTGTGGTAAATAAGTACTAAAGTATGGTGTTCATAATTTGCTGATTTTAATTCAACACGGATAATAAATCATTTTCATACTCACCTGCTGAATGAAAATATTTGAAGAGTATTTAGGTTGTAGTTAGGGATAGGCCACTGCGCAGCCTGCACAGAATTTTTGAGAGGCTGCGCAGTGTGATTTTTAAAATTCAGGCTAGCTGGTATAATTCTGGCCAGCTGGCCAGCTGGCCAACTGGAATAGAATTATATCTCTACTATATGTTATGCGCAGAAAATTTGAAAAATTCACGATTTGCCCATCCCTATCGGAGCACTAGTTGTTAGTTTTTCGTTAAATAAAATATACTCTCTCATATTTCAGTTATCCATCCATCTATCCATATTTAATCCTATTAAACCATACTTTCGTAACTATTAAAGCCAAATCAGCTGATGCTAAATCCCGCTCTCTCATAAACTGATAGTTACAATATTTAGTTCAAATTTTGCAAAAATTAAAAATTTGCAAAATCAAAAAATTTGCACTTTTGGCCCCAAATGGAACACCAGGTAAAGGAGTTAAAGAGTCGTGTGGCAGAATATTGTTGTTGCTACATCAAAACATTTTTTTTCATTAATTTTTATTATTATCTTTATTATTCGTTAAAGACATTATGGCACTAATAAATTGTAAATGAAGAAAATTCATTGATAGCAATATATATAATAATTAATTCCATCACTATTTAATCGCAATAACATTTTTGTTGAATCGTTATAATCGAATCTAGAAACGATTTCATATTTTTAAAATCGATTCTAAAAATAGAATCAATTCTAAAGTACATAATCATTTTTTTTTTTAATCGCAATGTAATTATTGTGTCTTCTAAATATATTAAAATAATATAAGTCTCATAAATGAATTTCAATTAAGTAACCAATTAGCCGCTTGAGTAAGAGAATAAATTGTTATGTATTAGATTAGATTTGCATTAAAATCAACTATATAATGAAGCATTTATAAGTAATTTACATTGTTTAAAACTTAAACACATAGATTGACTTAGGCATCTTGTAATATACATGCTGCTAAAATTACTAAATTATGAATTACAGCAATATATAGTATTGCGTATTAAATTGCAATCTATACGTAAATTTTTTGTCTATTACTAATAAAGTCTGTTGGCAAATCAGATTGTTAGACATGGCTATACATAATGTATGCGAAAAAATTCAGGTATCTTATGCTGTGACGTTATAAAAATACTATTTACATAAACTTAATGCATCAATAATTGAAAGACGGGCTAGAACTGGCCTTTAGGATCCTATAAAAAAAGTTGATTATGTTTTTGTTCAATTGTTGTTAATATCATTCAACAAATGTTCGGAATGGGCCCACTATAGGTATAAAAACAAGACAAAATCTGTATGTTTTAATTTAAAAAAATGTACAGATTTAGTCCTGCTTTTATACCTATAGTGGGCCCATTCCGAATGATACTGACAACAATTGAACAAAAATATAATAAACTTTTTTTATAGGGGGACAGAATTACGAACCAAAAATGTAATTGAGATTCATCGATTCTAGAATCGATTTTAGAGATTCGATCATAGATTATGGGTTTTAGAATCGATTTGAACATCCTAACGATACAAATATTATCTAAACACTAATTATGTTTCCAGATAAAAATATTAAAATATTATTTCACTTAATATTTTTATTTAATTTATCGGAGCTATTAGAACAGATCTTACATTTTTTAACAATTAACCTATTATTCTGTAGTACATGTAGGTATGCCAGTAATGAGATCTTTTTTACATGTCAGATTTTCTTTACAAGATAGAACCGAACAATTTCCACCAAAATCTACCCCATCATCACATAGACTTAAAAGTGCACTAAAAAAACCACAACGTTTCATGAGGTGAAGAGATTGATCTATCAATGAAATATTAATCAAGCATTATATATTTGGTGAGAAAACTGGAATATTTACGAAAAACATTTAATATAAAGTAAATGAATGAGAATTGATATTAACCTTCATGAACAGGTAATGCATGAACCAGCATGCTACAGACGATGCAACAGACCATGAGAAACCAAAGAAAAGATTTCATCGTTTTCGTAAGGTAGGATATATGCGTTAAAAATTAATGATAAGATTTGAATATACAATTTTCTGTTATCCAGAACAGTAAATTTTGTATAAATGTTGATTTTTAAGGAATAAAAGAGCGTAATATATTATAGTCTTTAGGTATATCAAATACTTTGGATGATAATATACTGACCATTCTGAACAGGCGTTATATATATAGAAAAATTGCAGACTAATTAATTTATAAGTCTCATTTTTAGAATTTTTACTTTTAGCAAAGTTCGTAATGTTGGAGTAGTAATTGATTCAGAACTTATGTTCTTTTAACCATATCAAATCCCATATTGTTTCAATATGTTGATCATAATAATTATCGGTGACAATCAATGGTCAATCGGGTGATCTTTCAAATTACCATGATCATGTATCACACCGAAAATCAGGATTATTGATTTTTAACCAATCATATATGTATTTGCAATTTTTTTTTTGATTAGATATCAGGCTTTGCATATGAT